CTGTAATTTCTCTTGTTTATTTTCTTTCTCCTCTAACAACTGCTGTAATTTCTCTTGTTTATTTTCTTTCTCCTCCAACAACTGCTGTAATTTCTCTTCTTGTTTTTTTTGTTGTTCGAGCTGCCACTGTTGCAGGTTTCCAGTTGCCACTGCTGTAATTTTTCTTCTTGTTTCTTTTCTCGTTCGTCTTGTTTCTTTTCTTTTTCCTCCAACCACTGCTGTAATTTCTCTTCTTATTCTTCTTGTTTCTTTTCTTTTTCCTCCAACAACTGCTGTAATTTCTCTTCTTGTTTATTTTGTTGTTCGAGCTGCCACTGTTGCAGGTTTTCTTGCCACTGCTGTAATCTTTCTTCTTGTTTCTTTTCTCGTTCGTCTTGTTTCTTTTCTTTTTCCTCCAACCACTGCTGTAATTTCTCTTCCTGTTCTTCTTGTTTCTTTTCTTTTTCCTCAAACAACTGCTGTAATTTCTCTTGTTTATTTTGCTGTTCGAGCTGTCACTGTTGCAGGTTTTCTTGCAACTGCTGTTGTCTCTCTTCTTGTTTCTTTTCTTTTTCCTCCAACAACTTCTGTAATTTCTTATCTCGTTTCCATTTTTTTTTTATCCCGCTTCTGACACCAATTTGTTACATCTCTGTTTGTTAATTAACTTTCCGTAACTTCGTTCTTGATGAAACTTTAGTGACACAAGTCCTTACTTAATAAAACTGGTTTATTCTTTCGAATATAACTTTACGATACACTTAATTTCAACAATCTCGCTAAAACAAATGCTATAACAACGAACGTGCTCAATATGCTCTCTGACTGCAGATCAATTACTCACTGTCTACACACACACCTTAATTCGTCACGTTGTCACCCTCTTATATATATATACCAGACTACCCTATATCTAGTAATCTCCCGACTATTCCCGAAGGTTCGAGAGAAGTGGAGTGACCTCGCTCACGCAACAGTACTTTTTGTCAAATTTTCATCCCAAAATAAAGGTATGAGTAACTAATAAGTAACTTTTTATCTAAATAAAAAAAAACAGTTATAAGAAATCCACCCCAAGAGTTATCATTCTTTTTCAAGTCTTAATGCAATGAATATTAACAGCACTGTCGCATGATGGTGCATAAACCTGGTGCATGAACCCTTACTATTGTATGAGGGATGTCCAAAACGTTTGTGGCCTGAACTATAAAGAAAAGAGATACTGGTTCAACTATGGTTTATTTTTCAACATAATCTCCTCCTGAGTCTATACAATTGTGTCAGCAATGTTCTAAGGCCTTTATGCCCTTCTGAAAGAACTCTTCTTCTTGGTTCTCAATCTATGACTGGATGGTGTGTACAAGATCATCATCACTCTGAAATATTTGACCATTCAGAAAGATGTTAAGGTTTGGGAAGAGAAAAAACGTCACTTGGAGCTAAATCTGGTGAATAAGGGGTTTCATTAAGTAATTTGAAGCCAATATCATAGATGGCATTCAAAGCAACATGCAAGTTATGATATGGGGCATTGTTCTGTTGGAAGAGCACACTTTTCTGAGTTACCCTGTTTTCTTTGATTTCTTGATGCAAATTGTTGATTAAGGATGAATAATAATATCCTGTAATGGTGTGAACCCTTTCCAAATAATCAACTAGTAAAATGCTCTTGGCATCCCAAGAAAATGATGCCATGATCTTCCCAGTAGAGATTTGTGACTTGAACTTCTTTCTTTGGTGTGGGTGAACTTGGGTGTAAATTTCCATTGAAAACTTTGCATTTTATCTTTAGGTTGAAGTGGTGGACCAATGTTTTATCCATAGTTACCTTTGGAGTTGGCATTGGCTTTTAACAACTTGGATCTGTTTCTGCTCAGGTGACAATATTTTTAGAACTTGCCTGGCAATAACCTTACTTATGCTCAAACTGTCCTTAAAAATGCTCAGATCATCTTCACCATTATCTTCCACGCTTAAACTCAGCACATCACTTTTACACTGTTGAATATGCCAGATCACCCTCTCTTTTAATAAAATATTTTATCACAGCACAAAGCAACATCTTCTACACAAAGTTTAACCCTGCTCACCTCATTCTACAACACACAAAATAAGCTTGATAATTTGTAGGTTACATGTTGTTTACTCATAAGAATGTTCAAACTTAAAATTTATCAGAAAAAATCATAATTCCATTATATTTAGACAACCCACATACATAATTACAGTGCTAAAATTGTTGATAACATATTATTATAGGAGACATAAAATACTGTAAATCAGATTTTTGTGTTTAGTTCTGACTGTTTACATTTGTAGCTCACTCTCTGCTTTTTGCAATGAAATACTGTAATGTATTTAGTTTAGACTTTTTTATTTGCATAAGATACTTTAAAGTTTATATGTTTAGCTCGGATTACATTTTTTGACATGAAATACTGTGAAAAAGAAGCTTATGAGTTTAGTTTAGACTATATATCATTTTGAAGCAAAATAAAAATTAGAAAATAAATCACAAACTTGTACGTTACGAGCTTCATCATGACAACCCTGTATTTTGTACAAACAACAGAAAGATTAAGTGTTGTGTTTTTCATATTTATGTATTATGTGTATATCAGTTATTCTGATTGTTGTATATAGGTTTCTGAAAAGTCTACAAATTATCATAAACACATTATTTCAATCAATTCAGTCAATGGGTGCTATTGGAACCTTGATGGCCTTGTTTATGTGTATCCTTTATTGCAACAATTTAATGACTTTTATTAATGAGTTACAGTAAATGAACTGAAGTTTGAATAAAGTTATATGTATACCTCACAAAGGCTGCTACTATAAGGGGATAGATGTAGCCTAGTAATTACTATGCTCAGACTGTTAACCTGATGCTGCAGAAACGTGTTCTGTACTTGAGGCCATGGATGCTCTAAAGTTTATAGGACTGATGGTCAAATTCCACAATTCAATCAGATAAGAGTAGCTCAAAAGTTGGTGATGGATTATTTTGACTAGCTCTTTTCTCTCTGGTTTGTCTTCAGAAGTAGGGAAGATTATGAACAAATAGCCTTTCTGTAGCTTTTTGTAATATTCTGAAACATACTGTGTAAGGATCCTCTAATGAATATATAAGTGTATCATCATAAAATATTTTGGTATTGAAAGTAATTTTTAGATTATTATGCATTTTTGATTCATGTACAAATGCTAATATTGGATGTAATTGCTACTGATATAACTAGTGTATAAACATTTAGATTCCATAATGTCATTTCTAGTCAGTATAGATATAAAGTAAAGTTGAATTTGATTAATGAAATACACTTTGAATATTTTGGTTTTACACTGTTTTCACATCACTAATGTAATAATATTTCCTACTAATGAAAAACTATTTTACTTTATGTGAAATTGTTTCCCTAAATGATACATTTGTACAATTTATCAATAATCATTGCTTCATAACATTTAAATTATATTACAAATATTGCAAAACCCAAATATTTTGGTACATAAATCAGTAGAGAACTGTAAAAAATAAATTCAGAAATATTTTCTCATTACTGGTATAGGAACTTACATTAGGTAAAACCCATTTTAACAGAGGTTCAAACTATTTTGACTGAATCACAGGACATTAAAACAATGAATAGAAATCATACCAACCAAAGATCATGTTAGGTTGCCTATATTGTAGGAATTTAAGACAATTCAGAAAACTCATTTCAACAACAGTTCAGGGAAGGTTGCCTAGATTACAGGATTTTTAAGACATTACAGGAAACTAATTTCAACAACAGTTTGGGGAAAGCTGTCTAGGTTACTGGAGTTTAAAACAATGCAGGAAACTCATTTCAAGTACCATCCAGGGAATGTTGCCTAGATTAAAGGACTTTAAGACAATACAGGGAAATAATTTCAACAACAGTTCAAGGAAGATTACTTAGATGACAGGATTTGAAGGCAATGCAGAGTACTCATTTCAGCAGTATTTCAGGGTAGGTTGTCTAGGTTACTGGAGTTTAAAGTAATGCAGGAAACTCATTTTAAGAACCATTCAGGGAAGGTTGCTTATATTAAAGGACTTTAAGACAGTGCAGGGAATTCTTTTCAACAACAGTTTAGGGAAAACTGTCTAGGTTACTGGAGTTTAAAACAATGCAGGAAATTAATTTCAACAGCATTTCAGGGAAGGTTGCTCAGAAAACAGGATTTTTAAAACAGTGCAGGGCACTCATTTCAACAACATTTCAGGTAATGTTACCTAGGATTGTAGGACTTCAAGGCAGGGCAAGAAATTTATTTCAATGACAGTTCAGGGTAGGTTGTTTAGGTTACAGGACTTCAAGGTAGTCTAGGGAACATATTTCAATGATAGTTCAGGGTAAGTAATTTAGACTACAGAAAATCAAGACAGTGAGTGTATTTATTATTGTGGCTATCGTTTCTGAAATGTTCAGAATTTAACTGCTCTATGAGTTATTTAGCTTTGACAACTTTTTTAGATGTCTTTGCAGTAATAGGTAGAGGTCTTTATCATGAAGTCAACAATGAAAAGTTTGGGGACCTTGGTAAATCTATTTTTACCCTTTACCAACTTTTGACTTTAGATGATTGGTTTATGATTTATAAAGACACTCTTAAAGAGAACAAATGTAAGTAGAAAATAACCAAGTTTCTGATTATTGCTTTTTCAAACTTATGTGTGATGATAATGAATTACACTAGAAAATATTATATAATAAAACATTAAGTAAATATCAATGATGGTAAAACATTAAAAAAAGATGTATAATTAGTGTTTATGAACAGTAGATATATCCTCAAAGTTTTTAAGTTTTGAATTACCAAAGGGTTCAATATGGAATCCATTGGATTTGTAACTTTTTCACTGCCATAGAAACATATATATCCTGCTCTGGACCACTGCCATGTGAGTTTGGAATTTTGTATCACCATAAAAAAGGGCACTCCCTATTAAACTTCCTAGAGCTTACTAGTTTCAAGTCTTGGTTAAGTGTAAGTTAAAATATTAAAATGTATTTTTACTTTTTATTATGTATCTAAATATATATCTGGCATTGAAAGAGTTAATCACAATTTGCTAAACTAGTTATGCACCAAGTTGCTTTGGCTCCATGACCCTATTGGTTACAGGTTTTCTCTAATAATGTATCAATTACATAAAAAAAAAAGTAAACAAAAATACCATTTACATTACAATTAATCCCATGAATTATTAGTGGTTCCTTTTTTGTATTTAACATAGAAAATGAGGAATTACACCCAATGTATTTATCATTTCCTTACATTAACATTAAAATAGACAATAACATTAAAGTCCCTAATATAACATAATATATTAACCCTCCTGTAGTCAAAGATATGAAAATAAGTCAGTAATATGAGGTTAAATAAGCAGTAATGTTTAAAGAAGTATACCGATATAAACCGTTCTTTTTACAAAAAACATGTTTTGTTTTTAATTTGCTTCTGGTCTTCCAGCATACTGGCACATCCTTATCTTCCTAATTGTCTACATTGTGGTGGAGTATTTCATCTTCTTGAAGTGAGTTTCTTGCTTATCTACATTAGCAATACACAAAAGTTAACATTTTGGTTGACCACCCCAAATCATGGGCTGTGTGATTTCTTATTTTTTAACCAAATTTATTGAATGAGCAAATTTCTTGTATTTTAGTGACTTCTTAATTAGTAACTATATTTTTCAGACATTAGAGACTATTTCAGTAAAATATTTGTGTGCAGAATTTAATTAGTTTCATTCTGACAGTCCATGGTTTATTATTCACATCCATTTTATTTTGTGCTTTTGACAGTCAGTACTCTTCCTTTCAGATGTACATTAATGTAACTTGACTATTTTTAAGTTCAGACCTCATTAGTTTGATTCTGATAGTCGAGTTTTGTGTTAATTTTAAATTCAAAACAAGTTTACATTATTTCAATTCTGTTAGACATTGTTTTGTAATCCAAGTTTTCACATTTCTTCACTGTTTCTTGTATAATTGTATATAGAGTAGGATTGTAAATTACTGGTGTTTATAGCATCTATTTTAAGAAGTTAACAATTCAAAATAACTGTTTTGTTCTTAATATTTTATCATAATATGATTCATTCTATAATCCCCTTTCTTTGATTAAGTTGATGTTCAAAAATAGTTTATCCTTCAAGAGAATGTGAGCAATGTGAATAAAATACATAAAATTATGTTTCAGTAGTAAAACATAAATTATGAATACAAATCATGGAGTCATGTTCAAGTTGTAAAAATTTGAATTTAAAAATACTACTCACCTCTTCACCACAAAGATCTATTACCTTGCACACCTTACCATATAATTTCTTGCACATGCCACAGATCTTGAAGAAATCTTCTACTTCTTGTTTCAATGTCTATTACACAAGCCTATGATGTAACCATCATTAGACTCTAGCACTCCACCAATGGGAAGGTGTCATATTCTCCATGCATACTAATTCTCATGAGCACTAGCACATGATCACAGGCTCATTCTTTCCCATCTTCAGATGTGTTATATTTTCAATAGATTTAACTGCTTCTTAATATTTATTGTGTAGTGTTTCTTTCCTTAATTTTCTTATTATATGAAAGAACAATACTAAATTGTAAACTTATCAGTTCGAACTATCTTCAATTTGATTTTTTTTACCAGCATTGTACTTTGAGACATGTCCCATTGTTTAATCCAACATACAGGTTTTGTCCTGTACATTGAAGAAAACAGATTACTCATTACATCCCCCAATCCATGATCTAGCTGCCGTTGACTTCCAGCATAATGAGGTAATCTGTGTCCCACTTAGAATTTGTAATGTGCATCATAAATGGCAGGATCAAGATAATAAGGCACTCTCATGATCTCATTTCTACTTTTGACAATGGAAATGAAGTGTTATGATGACTCACTCTTGTTCAAATTGGATAGATCGATCTCAACAGTCTGAAAACCTTCTTTAGAAACTGGTTTGTAATATGACTTTGTAAATGTTTCAGTGATCATGTTAATTTGAATGACTCATACTCTTCAAGGATACCATTATGCCTATGCATCATCACCATACCTGGCTCATTTTATAACTAATAACACAAAAATAAACAAACAAAACAAAAGAAAAACATTTTCTAGGTATTTATAGAAACAGACCACCAACATCAGTTTCATGGATGAACGGGATTATGCATTCATGTTTTCATATTTCTAACATCTCCCAAGGTTTTTAACACTCCTTCACAGGAGTCATCCAATACTGTCTTGGTGATTGGAGACACTGAAGATCAGTGATATTACTGTGATTGTGCACCAGAGGTTGATTCCATTCTGATCTTTGATCCCAGCAGGATTCCTGTCCTCCTGCTTCTGTTACTTTAGCTGAGCTTTGTCTTTGCATGCTTTAACTTCTCATTTTCCCTTCCCAACATGAAGCAGGTAGTCCCACTTTTGTCCTTCATTGCTTAGATTCCACAGGTATGTGTTTTTTCTGATGTAGCCTTTTGCTCAATCTCAGGCTTCCTTATTACATGAGCCTCATTCACCTAAATCATTTCTTTCAGTTTAGGGATCTCTTACTTTTCCTTTTTTCTTTCTCTTCAGTTACTTGTATTCATCTATTACAGGATTATTTATTCATTCTTATGTTTTACATTACTTTGGGGGTTTCCATCATTACCCTATCATTACTGGATCAACTTGCATGTACCTATGTTTTTCACTTTGTATTCAATTTTCTTCCGTTCATTCCCAATTACCTTGGTTTCTTTATTTCTGGGACTGCTTTGTTAGGTTAATTATCTTACTTTCTGACTTTCACCTCCCTCACTTTCCTCTCCAGAACTTCTGTCTTGCACCATTTCTTTGTGATATATTTTTGGAGGTATTTCTGATACATTGACATCTTGAACTGATGCAAACCTTCAGCAGTCACCTCTTCTCACTCTAGTTAGATGGCTTCATAGAGTCACCCCCCCTCTTTTGTTTCTTGTCTTCTTTTTACTATCTTTCTCTGAGAGTTGGCTGTCATGGGTCTTAGAAGTGATTTATTTCTGGAGCCAACCCTCATATCCAGTCCTGTGGGAGTATTTCTCTTCCATTTTGTCTACTGGTGGACTCCCTTTTCTACAACCTAGTGCAATTCTCAGTTGCTTTCGCAGGAGTTTTATATATACTTCTACTCTCCAACTTACCTGTTGTAAACACCATGGGACAATTCCTCAACCATACTCTGGAGCTTTATCTCATCTTTTTATTGTTCCCATGAGGATGTTAGGTTGCCAGGCAGATATCTATCTGTCCAACTTGATACATCTGTCAGGGTTTTATGTATATGAGTGGGCTGGGATTCTTCTACAATAGGTGTCTATGACTTGTTGGCAATAAATTTGAACCATAAATGGACAGCACACAATCCACTTGTTTTAAAATAATATAAATTCAAAACAAGTCAAACGTATGTACAAAAATTCTTTATACTATAGGAAATCATAGTTTTATCTAAAACTCTGAACTTTACTCTTGTCAAAGTCCACACAGGCTGATTCAATTACTTTAGAATTCAATTGACAAGACGAATTATTTTTCTCTACTTTTATCACAGTAGTATTAGTGAATAATTCACTTACATTACCCAATGGGTTACCAAAGTTGTATCTTGAACTTTAAATTGTTGTCTCCTTTTCATCAAAGTCCACACAGGCAGGTTCAATTACTTTAGATCATCCTTTGACAAGACAAATTATCTCTTTATCTCTGTTAAACTGTGAAACCCATTTTAAGATATCACCCATTAAGGCTAATCACTCACACGTCAGCTAACTTCACGTTTTCTAACTTTTTTTTCTGACTGAACTTCTCTTGACTTCTTCTCACTTGTGCTCACTTGGTTGCCTATATATATAACTTGCCCAACTGAGACCTGGAACTTTCTACAAACTAGGAGATGCTATAATGTAACAATACTCACATAGCGAGAAAAACTTAGATGTTTCAAGAAAGAAGACATCAACAATTGAACTACACACACAATGTACGACCCTTACTGAATTACTTAACAAAATGTGTTATATCTATTACTTTTAAAATAATTAACTTTTAACACTCTTGTTATGAAAACTAAATATTCATTAAATATTAAATCACTAAATATGACTATTAAGCTAAACAGTATAGTATATCCAACAACATCTTTGGTCTTTCCTCAGTTCCTGATGAGCAGTTTTCTCATTCTTTGGTGGATAATCTTTCCAGTGATGAATGGCCTGATTTTGGGGTCTCAGACACTTTTTCCACATCCTGATTTGTCTGTACACCCTTTTCTTCTTTAGGTTTGCCCATAATGGTTGAACAGTTGGTTCTCAGTCCTTCCCTTCAAATTAACTATGGTTCCATCTTTTTCCCTGAATTGTCCTGTGGCTTTTTACTCAAAGGTTATATTCTTGAGGTCTGTTGTTCCATTACTATATAGACATTTGGTGTCTATTCGCCTCTTTGAATGTAGCTTCCTCCATTGTGATCTCCCTTCTCCTTCAGAAGTTATTTCCTTTGAAGTAGCTAGTTTTGGCCTCCATTTCAGGCTCAACCCCCATCCTATATTTCATTCACTTGGGGGAAGTCTCATTCTACTTCTTTGTCTTTGTGACATGGAGCTTTTGATACTAGTGCTCTTGTGTCTCCTTAATTTCCTGCATCAACATTGTTGGGGACTTTTCCTCATTTCTCTTGGATGTCCCCATCAGTGGTTTTTAGTCTGTCAATACAGGTATATCTAAACATACGCTTTTTTTTCACATCTTGTAATCATGATGTTTCTCTTGATTCTACATGATCCTGGAATCCCTCTTCCCCCACCTTACCCAGACATGCATCTGTTTGGAGCCATCAAGGCTCAGAAGTCACTCTGTGGCTCCTTGCTCTTATTTATGTGAGCTTCCATATCTGTGATAAGTATAGCACAGGTGACATTTTATGTTATCTTTGTGCTTGATGACAACCAATCCAACAACCACACCTTTCCACTGCCTCTTTTTGGGTAGGTGTGCAATTCTGGATGCTTAATCTATTTCAGCATCTGATACCCAAGAGTGAGGTTTCTCTGTCTTTATGTCCTCAAGTTGGTGGATACTCTGCAGGCTTGCCATTATCTTCTGTTTTATCTGCCTGATCTTCTTATCATGATCCATTCAAACACCTCCTCTGTTCTTTCTTCCTTACTCTGACAGAAACTTCTGTTTTTCTGACTCCAAGTCCTATTTTTTGGGTCTATGACCACCACATTCAGTTGTTGATCTCTAATGTCTGGTGGCAGACTGACTATCTCACCTAGGCCTGACTCTTCTCACAGAGTGATTTCTCCATCCTTTGGTTTTTCAGTAGATTTGCTCCCACTATGAGCATTCTATCATCACTAACTTTCCACTACCCACCATTCTTCACTTTCACTCATTTGGAATCCAACCCTAGACTTTGGATTTCTGCCTGAGGACGCTTAGGTATGATTCAACTTCCTTTTATATGCTTTGTACATATTTCTTCTCCTTCTCCCTTGCAGGAGCCATTCCTCACTTTTGTCTTTTCCTCCTATTTACCTCTTCTTTCCTGGCTATCGCAATCATTGGCAGGGTGTTTGGATGTTTTCTTCACTCATCATGTATTGTCATGCATTTTCATACCATCCCAGCTTGCCTCCTTTGTTTTATATGGTGTATTCATTATTATCTCACTCATACTGCCCTTTGTTTGGCCTTTGCCAACTTATTTTCTTGACATGGGAATCCTCTTCCTCTAGTCATTTAATCTCTTTCCATTTTGACCAGTTGGGTTATATACCCTTTTTTGGTTATTTTCTTCTTCTATGAATAATGATCCTTTTCTTATTTTTTATGTCTCCTTCCATCATGCTTCTCTTACCTCTAGCCATTGATGTCCCCTGTATCAGGTCTTGCAGGTGGGAATGCAGACAAACCCTGAAATGTTAATGTCCCAATACTTACACCACAGAAAGGTTTCACCTACCTGGCTTTTATTTCCTTCTAGTTGTCATTCTCCACTCTTCAAAATGGTTCTAATGGTGAGATATTTTTCTCCTTTCTTTTTCATGTCTCACAACTTCTTATTCTAACTGTACATATATATATATCTATATTATGTAGACAATGCACCCACCAAGTGGCATTTGTTGTCTCACAGAGATTACTTACCCAAAATCTACATCAAATAGGGACTATGAAAGTGTTAACCCACCTGCCCTTGCTTAAGGCCTGCTGTTGAGATGAGGTTTTTTTCAAGACAGCTTTGGTGGTTAAGTCCAGCCAGAAGGGTTTTGGGGTCACTTTGGGACACAGGTCTGAGATGCTGTTTCCTGCACTTGATTTTTTGTGGTGAATATCTCACATAAGTATTTTTCCAAAATGGAACAGCTTAATTTATATCCCTAGCCACACTATACATCATGCTCAGCTGTCTGCCTGTGAAATAATGGATGGTTGAGCAATCTGCCATTCCATCCACCTTAGCAACACATTAGCAATATTTTGCTCTACCACCTCTATTGGACAAAAAATATTCCCTGCTTGAAAATTAATACATTATCCCACCAAGTGCTGCACCACTAGGCTGCTCTCTGCTTTATGGGTGTCTCACACCATAAGCTTTCCCTTTCTGATGCTATTTTCAAAAAGGGGGTCATCTTTGTAATTCTCTTAATTAATCACTGGTCCATCCACCATATTTAGTGTAGGATTCTGGCCCTTTGTTGTACAAAAAGATGAGTAGTACTTCTGAAGTTAACATTTTCTTTACCTAAAAGTGTATTTAAGATAGATACTCATCTCTCTGCACCACCTCCCATCCTTCCTTCCCACTTCCAATGCATTTAGTTTGCCTTCTCAATAATGAGCCTGTGTTCACATATTAGTACTCAGAGAAATACAGTGAATGGGGATGTTTCATCTTCCTGTTAGTGGAGGACTATAGTCTGGTAATGATTACATCATAGGTTAGTGCAATACATGTTGATACATGAGGGGTGGAAGCTTTGTTCAAGGCTTGTGGCATGCATAGGAAATTACATGGCAGTATGTGTGAGATAATGTTCTTTGCGGTGCAAAGTGGTAAGTATGTTTCTGAAATACATTTGTAGTTAAGGAATATGTTAACTTTGATAACAAAATTGGTTTTTACTTCTATGTATGCATGGAAAACTGTCATCATTTGAAAAGCTCAAACAAGTTAATTGTGATTTTTCAAAATCTGATATTTCTTTTTGATCACAAACTTTTTTCTACATTTTATAAGTCTTAATTTTTCTACCAAAATGCCACACAGATATGAACTAAAATTTTAATTTCTTACTAAAATACAAAATCAATAATGTATATTACCATTGTGCTGCAAAAAAATAAAAATGTAAGCCCGTTTTTGATTATTTAGATAAATACATATATATAGTGTTTCAGGAACTATACCAACTATATTGTATGAATTCCACTGTAATGTTGCTTTGTCTTTTTAACAGGCAGGAAGATAATTTGAGGTGAAGAAATTTAAGCATTGAGTATTTAGTGTTCTTAATGTATAAATTACAGAATTTTTATTTAACTTTTCTATTTATTTTTAACATATCAGCTTGTTTGTAGCGGTATTAGTGGATAATTTTCAACTGACGTTGGAAAAATCTGCTTTAGAAGATCACGATAATGATTTTCAGGTGAGTGAATTTCATACAAACATGAATTTATAGGTAGTTATCACATTTCCAGTCTTGAGTTAAATGTTAATATGTACTGAATGAAACATGCTATATTAATTACAGAGCATAAGTAAAAATAGATTATATCATTTGAGTTGGATTTGTAACTATCAAGAAAATATATTACATCATTTGTATTGGATGAAGATTGATATTATTTGTGTTGTATGTGAAACAATAAAGAAATCATATTACATAATTTGTGCTGAGTACATAACAAGCAAGGATGTATAATTATCAGGAAAGTATATGACATTGTTTGTGTGGGATATGTAACAGTTAAGAAAAAACGCTTTAGTCAGACCCCCTGTATTTCCTCTTTGTTTCATGAGAAAAACAACTTCAGAGACCTTAACTTGTTTTCGAAGAACAACATATATAGTAGCCTTTTTGTTTAGGCCTTTAATTCCAACAGTTCAGTTCTTCTTAATGTAAGTAGGCCAAGACTGAACACAACATTCCAAATGAGACCTAACCAGTGACTTACACAATGAAATGATAACCTTTTTAGGCTTATAATGAATATTTCTGAAAATACAACCCAAGATCCTATTTGCCCTACTCCTAACAATAGCATAGTACTTGGATGGTTTAAGAGACTGATCTGCCAAAACACCAAGATCTTTTAAATTATGATATCCTACATAATTACCTGGTATTTATTATTATTAAACATCATCTGCCAACTATTTGATCAACTCATCAAATGATCTAAATCTTTTGTGAAGTAGCAGCATCTTTGTTACAACAGGCAACACTCAAGACCTTAATATCATTAGCAAATCTAAACAATTTATTGACTATTAATATTCCATATCCATGTTATTCATGTAAATCACAAAGAGCAAAGTCTCCAAAACTCAGTACTGAGGTACTCCACTTGTTACATATAAATCCAGTTTCACTGAATTTTTTTGTAACAGTCATCTGCTTTCTTCCCTCCAGTCATTTTTCCATCCAACATTCTTAATTATTCCTCACTTCCCCACATTCATAGAAATAATTTTTTCAAGCCTTTCGTGTGGCACCTTGCCAAATGCTTTCTGAAAATTCAGGTGCACTAAATCTGAATTTTTACTCTCATCAATATAAACAGTAACTGTTTCAAAGATTATCAAAATATTAGTAAGGAAACTTTTTCTCCAGGTGAAACCATGTCGACTACCCAACAAAATTTTAAACTTTGTTAAATGAATTTGCAAAGTATCTTTTATCAGTCTTACAAAAACTTTCCAAATACTGATGGACAATTTTCATCACTTTCCTTGAAAAGATGAGTATCATTAGCCAACTTCTAATCCTCTGGTACCTGCTCACTACCCAAGGACTTGCAAAAAATATTAAGAAATAGCCCACATATCCAATTATTAATCTCCTTGAAAACTGGGAGAAATATTATCTGGTCCAGGAGCCGTAAACCTTATGTTATATAAATGATAGAATACACAGTCTTGATTCTATACACCAAAAGTAAATGATGTTATACACCATCTTAATTACTACTCATCCAATAAAAACGACATTATAAACCTCCTTAAATTTTTATATCAAACACGAATAATGTCACATACTTTGTTATCAGGGCCCATCAACGAAATTCCAGACCCTGGTGAGCCCCCCCCCCCTCCCCATTGCTTTCTCCTATGAGTCCTATCTGCCAAAGTTTTAGAACAATCTTTTTTCTCTTTCAAAATTTACTTTTTCAAATATAATCCTACTGTTTTTATCTATGCCCTTTTTTCCACCCCACCTTCATCCCTATACCACCAATACCACTAGCATCACTACCACTAATCTCATCTTCAGTCCCTTTTACAATTACTAATCTTCCTGTCATCCTTTTATCTCTTTGGACTTTTTGTGCAGCAATGAAAATGTAAAGCAACTTTTGACTAGCAACTTTTTCAAAAAATCAAAATGACTCAAGAAATAGGATCATTTAATGGTAAATTCATGTTAAACCTTTACAAGCTCTTTTTTGCAGCAAAAAAGTCAATGATATGGTTAAAATAAAATTTTTTTACAGGTTACATAATAGTAAGCTAAAACATTACATTGAAAAAGAGTTTAGCTCGATCATTTCTTCAGACTCTGTTATGCATAATGCAATATTTTTTTTACACATATCTAAGATACTACCAAAATGTGTATTTGTGTCTCCCTCCTTCTCTCTTTCCTCTTTCTTTTCCTTTTCTTCTTCCTTCCTTCCTGCACCCCTTCCCTCTTTCCAGGCCCTGGTGCTTTGGCACCAGGACCCCTCCCCACTTTCTGATGGGCCAATATCCAAACAAAATAACATAAAATACTTCCTTGATTGTCAAATGTTTACAAGAAAGCTGATAGCTACTAATATTTAGAATGAGATGGTAAGTATAGAAATTTGAAAGTGTCAACTGAGAGCTATAGATATTTGAAAATGTCAGCTGATAGCTACAGATAATAGAAAAGGTAAACTGATAATTATAGATATTTATAGTGAAGTGGTAATTACTGATATATGAAAAAGCCAGCTACAGATCAAAGATTTTTAGAAAATGTCAGCTCATAACTGCAGATATTTAACAATTTCTCCTGGTAACTACATATATTTAAGAAAAAGGATGTGTTAAATGTTAGCATTATATCTTGTTGACATATTTAGTTTTTCCCTGTGCGAGAGATAAAAAGGTTAAAAGATTTTAACTGTTGTTAAAAACATACCAGAGAAAGCTAAAGAGTAGGGAAACAAATAAATGTTTTGTTTGTTCAACTCTATAGACTAATTATAATATATTAAGTCATGATATACAATCACTACATGAAGTAAGTGTAGCTGTAAAAAAATGTTACACACTATTGCAATATATAAGTACTATTAAACTTTAGAATCAGATTTTCTCTGTGGAGATATATTAGAATGAATACCATGAAGAACATAAACTTTGTTTCATGTAAAGTTGAAGAGCTTCAAAGATTGGTTAGCAAAGTCATGTATCAAATTAAAACATAGTTTTAATTTTGAAGATTCACTAAACTCCTTGTAAAAAATTAAATATTTAAATTTAATGTTTTAACAAATTTACTAGAAGTTTTATTCCTACCATAATTTTTTATTGTAATGTTAGGATGAAAACCTATTTTACAAGGAAGAAGAAAAAGAAGAAGGTAAAAGGTTATAACACCATAAATATATTAGAAGCATGAAGTAACTTTCTGTTTTAAAATCATCACAGAAAGTAACTACTGCAATGGAGAATTGGTCTACAGATATTCTGTTTTGTATATGTTTGTGTGTTCTTCTGTATGGTTAGGAATAAATTGTGAAATAGCAGTGATAAGCAGAGAGTTCACTCCTGATTAGACTACTTCTCTGAAATGTTCATTAGATTCTGCCATCTTTCCAGTACTATTTATCTTTTGTATAAATGTTTCCTGTTTTGTCCATTGTAACTAAATACAAATGGATGTTAAGGTGTATTAGATAAAAGTACCTGAAATATAATAATGTGAGGAGAGTAAAAAATGACTTATTTGTAGCACCTGTATGCAATTTTACCAGTAAGAATTCAGGTTCTATGTGGCTGTAGACAGAAAAATATATGTATATCATTTGAAATGTTTAGCTAGGTAAGAGCATATCTCAGGGCTAATGTTTATTCAGCTAGGTAACAGAACATTTGGTATGGCTACTGAAACAATCGGCTAGGTAACAAAACTTTTCTCAGGGATACTGAAACACTCAACTAAGTAATAGAATATTTCTCAGGACTATTGAAACATTAACCTGTGTAACAGAACATTTCTTGTGGCTGCTGAAACATTCAGCTCTATAACAGAACATTTGGCATAGCTATTGAAACATTCAGCCAGGTAATAGAACAATTCTCATGACTACCCCAACATTCACCTATGTAACAGAGTATTTCTTGGGTCTATTGAAATATTCAACTAGGTAACAGAGAATGTCTCACGAACACTGAAACATTCAGCTTGGTTACAAAACATTTTTCAGAACTGTTGAAATATTCAACTAGGTAACAGAGAATGTCTCACGAACACTGAAACATTCAGCTTGGTTACAAAACATTTTTCAGAACTGTTGAAATATTCAACTAGGTAACAGAGAATATCTCACGAACACTGAAACATTCAGCTTGGTTACAAAACATTTTTCAGAACTATTGAAATATTCAACTAGGTAACAGAGAATATCTCACGAACACTGAAACATTCAGCTTGGTTACAAAACATTTTT